TGAAATCGATAAAAAACCCCGGGTCAGAGCCAAGAACGGTCAATAAAGGAATAGCTCCAAAGGTAAATGAAGGCCCAGAAAGATTGCCGCGGTAAATAACGTGGCGACTAATCCCTGAACGTCATTCGATGATCCTCGAGTGGAGCGACAAACTCCGAACTGCGGTCCCCGGTCATACTCAGGAGACCTTCTTCTCCGCCCCCCTCTCTCGGAGAACTCGATGCGCTCGAAAGCGAGAGATGACGTATGCGAAAGACCAAGAGATCGAGGACGGGGGGAAGCCGTTATGTCCGGAATGTCCTCGCTCGAACAGGAAAAATCCAATCACCCCGGCCGCATCCCCATAATCCAAACTCTCTCGGCCGCCATCCACGGCCACCAATGCCGCAGCGTGCAGCTTATCCTCATCAAGACAAAAGACAAAAGACAAAAGACAAAAGACTCACCCTTTCGCTTATACTCTGCCTGAACTTTGACAAAGAACCTCTCATTGAAACCGACCTCCTCGCTATCTCCTCGCAGGCTCATCGTGCCACCGGCGGTCTCGTCCACGGACATGTACTTGGAGTAGTAATTTTGAAAGGCGACCATCCCAGGTGCGTCTGGTAAGATGATGGGCGTCCATTCTTCTTGTGGGCCGCGAGCCTGGAAATCATGGGTTCGGAATCGGATTATGGGTCCGGTTTGTTGCGGGGAACGGGAGTTGTTGTATAGGCGAATGTTTTTGACATCCCAGAAAATCAAATTCGAACGTTTGTCAAGGTAAACGAGTGGTCGTGTGCCGGGGCCAGAAGTGGGAGTAATTAAGTTGAAAGAAGGCCAATGGAGAATGAGGCCGAGTCCGGTGCGAGTTTTTTTTGTTTTGTTTTTGGAGGCGACGTTCAATGTCGAAGTTGACCCAATCAAGATCGAACGTTTGTGAAAGTAAAATGAGTGGTCGTGTGCCAGGGGGCGGAAGTGGGGTAGTTAAGTTGGAAGAAGGCCAGTGGAGAGTGAGGCCGAATCCGGTGTGAGCGGTTGTTGATTTTCCGTTTTGTTTTTCCCGGTGAACGGAGTGTTGCAGAGGTGATGTTCAGTGTCAAAGTTGATCAAACGTTTTCCAAAGCAAATGGGTGGTCGTGTGCCGGGGCAGAAGTGGAGGAGTTAAGTTAGGAAGAGGCCAAGGCCGAATCCGGTGTGAGTGGTTGTTGGGGTTTTTCGTTTTTCGTTTTGTTTTTTTTCCCGGTGAACGGAGTGTTGCAGAGGTGATGTTCAATGTCGAAGTCGATCGAACGTTTGCCAGAAGTAAAATGGAGTGGTCGTGTGCCGGGAGCAAGAGTGGAGTCGGTTAGGTTGGTTCAAGAGGCCAGAGCCAAAACGCGATGAAATGGAGAATCTAATCAGTATCAACTCCGCACGCGTGGCCGAGGCAAAAACGCCACTAAAGGGCTAGGCAAGGGTAGTTGAAGGTGGACGGAGGCCTCGAGGCGTGCACACGACCAATTATCGTCGTCCCCCAGTGCTTCCCCTCCACTCCTTTGCTTTCGTTATTTTGGGTTCTAGTCAAACCATAATTCCACGCTGTCTCGGTCATCCTCCTAGGTGGGGTTCTAACCAAATCAAGAACCACCACTGCCACCACCAGAGGACAACCGGAACCTCCGGCACTCGGAACTCCGTACGGAGATGGAGAGAGGAAAAGGAAAGACCCCCAAGTGCAAGACTTACCTCCCGGTCCGAACTAACCACACCATGTTGGTCGCAGCTCATAAACTTCCCATCCGGTGTCCGGAGATTGATTGTTGCTGAACCGGCTATTCGAGTGACAACCCAGACCTGGTTCACCTAAAAGATCAAGCGAACACACCAGTTAATACATCAAACTCAGATACTTCTTCGATTGATTCAAAGCAAAACAACAGAGGGAGAGGGATCCCTGGCGTACCTCAGTTGGAACGATGCTCGCCATCCCACCGTCTTCCTCCTCCGCCGACAACGGATGCAACACGATCCTCCCCCGAGTCTGTTCGTAAGTTATACATGTCGGAGATTGAGGAGACGTTGGATGAACGATAAACGTCGGACCGAGTACTTGAAGTGGGTTTGACGGGTAGACCCATGCTGTGTCATGAATTCAAGTTTGGGTGGGGGGAGGGTCGTTTTTCGTTCCCGTTCAGGTCGTTCGGCCGGACAGCGAAACCACCCCCAAGGAGCGTGTCATGCCCACGGATGTCGTGTGAGGGGGGAGAGAGGGAACGTTCGTGGATGGATGGGAAGGATTTCGTAAGTCGAGCAAGCAGCCGGTTTTGCGTTGTGGGCCAACCAACGCAGAGAGCCCAGGTAGAACGCAACACGCAAGCGCACGTTCGTTATACGCCCAGAACGCATGGTCAATGAAAGTCGTACGATGAGGCAGAAGAAAGAAAGTTAGCATCCGCTCTTTCCACGGGTCGTCTGACCAGCCCACACCATCCTCTCAGAGGTCGGCGTACCTTGTGGATCTGCCCCTTCCACATCACTCCCTTCTCCACCAGAACCATGTCCCCCAACGTCCTTTTCCTTGCGCTTGCGCTTCTTTCCCTTCTTGTCGCCTTTGAACGTTAGCTTCGTTGAGCGGACTTTGGACGTCGAATCGGACATTTTTGTCGCCGCACGGATATCAGTGGGGGTGGTGGTTGCGAGGCGGTGGCGGAGCGAACGGGCGTGTGAAGGTTAAGATTGCCGCTCCTCTCCTCCCCCGACCACCCTTCATATCGAAGCAAAGCCTTATATTCGATATCTCTTTTGCTTTTAATCAGGAGGGAATATTATTCTCGAGACTCGAAGTATTCCTCCAGATGGTTCCTAAACTAAAACCGGGTGCTCACCTCCAACATTGTCGTAGGCAAGAGCATTAACTAGCGCAAGGTAGGGGAGGAGGTATCAGTGTTGCGCGGAGGGAGATTCCATGTTGAGAAACTAGTGACGTGCAAAATTGGACTCGCTTGGTTACCAAACAGTAGTTAGTGAGGAGTCGCCCAGCGGAGTGCGACGAGCGGACATATGTATGGAACGACATCCTAACACCGATCTACGGGACCCACTTCGGGACGTATCACTCTAACAGTAAAGCATGATATAAAAACAGGCATTCTTGGCTTCGGTGTGTTGGTTTGAAAGTCGAGCCGGCCTCAAATTAGCTCGCCTGCCAGAATTTATCATCATGCGTTTCACTAGACTATATATTAAAATGTGGTGTCAAATATTGCGCGATTTGGTAGAGGATACTGAGAATCTCTAGACGTTTGTGAGATTGCCGGCTATACAACCGAAGCGAGACACGAGGGTACTCATGACTGGCACTGGTGATGAAGGAAATTGACCAAAGACCCGCATGAAATTGGATCAGCACGCTACAGTTATGGATTTTGGCTAAATATCGTCATAGGATCATTTGTATCTGCTAAACATGTAATATCGATCACGAATAAATGGGGGAGCGCGATCGACGATGCAAAACGAAACAATAGACCCGGCAGGGTGTGAACCTGCATAGCACATGTAACAAACAATCTCCAAGGAGAAGTTTCGTTCCTAAGAAGCTTTACCAATTAAGCTACGGGCCTCTACGCTCGCGATAGGTGATAATGTCCATATATCGTTGACTTGACCCCTCGAAAAATGTGAAGTGAAGTCTCGATGCTGGCCATCAAAGCTCTGGAGTTCTTACATTCAGAATCAGAGCTGGATGATGGAGCACAGGAAGGGTCGCGCCTCATTGTGTCTGCGACGAGGCAAGGCAGTGCGCCACGGTGACATCACACTTAGCCGAACTTGTAGTTCAGGTCATCACAGAACATGCTGAGGAATCGCAGAGTTATTCGAATACTACTTCTTGACAGCTGCACTTTGTGTTAAGTTCAATTCGAGAGCTCGTCTGGACTCCGCTAATGTCGCTTCCACAAATTTAAATCATTTGGGGCCGTTCAAGCCCATGACGCTCCACCGGCAGCTATCCAATCCCAGTGGACCAGCCGGCCAAATAATACCCGCGTGCAAAAGTATGCGTACCATGGCAGCAAGTAGTACGGAAGGAAGATCGAGAGGGAGTAGGTGTTGATGATTCACGGTCAATTCCGCTCAACATGGAGAACCGCTACGAACGCGCTCTTCGCAATGGTTGAGTGGACTCTGGATGTCAATATGACATTTGTCGCCGTCCGGATATCAATGATTTCAGTGATTGGGAGACGGTGGCGACGTGAACCGGCGTGTGAAGGTTGGGACTCCCCTCCCATTTCCTCCGTTGCCTACCCTTCTTGATTAAAGCAGAGCCTTATATTCCCTATCTCGCCTGCTTTGAATCAGGGGGGAATATTATTCTCGAGACCCAAAGTATTCCTCCAGATAGTTTCTAAAGTAAAACCGGGTGCTCACCTCCGACATTGTCGCAGGCAAAAGCACCAACTGGCGCAAGGTGGGGGAGGAGGTATTAGTGTTACGCGGAGTGAAACTCCATGTTGAGAAACTAATGACGTGCAAAAATGATCTCGCTTGGTTACAAAACAGTAGTTAGTAGGGAGTCGCCCAGCGGAGTGTGACGAGCATAGGGAACGACATCCTAACACCGATCTACAGAACCCACTTTGACGTGTATCACTCTAATAATAAAGCGTGATATTTTCTGAAACAAGTGTGTTGGTTTGAAAGTTGAGCCGGCCTCAGATTAGCTCGCCTGCTAGAATTTATCATCATGCGTTTCACTAGACTATATATTAAAATGTGGTGTCAGATATTGCGCGATTTGGTAGAAGATACTTAGAATCTCTAGACGTTTGTGAGATCGCTAGTTATACAGGCAAAGCGAGGCACGAGGGTACTCATGACTGGCACTGATGATGAAGAACTTTGACCAAATACCCGCATGAAATTAGACCAAGCACTCTACTTGGCTAAACACTATGATCATTGTTGTCTGCTAAACATGTAACGTCGGTCATGAACACATAAGGGAGGGTGACCGACAATGCAAAAAGAAACAGTAGACCCGGCAGGATTCGAACCTGCATAGTCACAAAGTGAATACCGTAAACGATATTGAGTTCTGGCTTTGCCAATTAAGCTACAGGCCTCTACGCAAATAAGGACTGATATACTTATATTCGTTTAGTCTGATCCAGGGAGAAATGTGAAGAGGAGTCTCAATGCTCGCCCTCAAACCTCAGCGTGAACTGGCACACAGTATGAAGGTCGAGATTGCCCGCTCCTCTCCTTCCCTAACCATCCTTCATATTAAGCAAAGCCTCTAAAGATACGATTCTTCATATTAGCGATATCTCCTGCTTTGAGTAAGGGGGAAATATTACTCTCGAGAGTCGAAATTATTCTTCGAGATGGTTCCTAAACCTAACCGAGCGCACGACAGCTACCCCCACAGCAGGCAAACGCACCAACTGGAGAAAGGAGGTGAATGATGTATTGGAGTGGCGCGCGGAATGAAGGTTCAATGTTGAGAAATTAATGATCTATACTAAAAACGAACGTGTTGGTAACAAAACAGTAGGGAGTAGGGAGTCGCAAACAGGCCATCTCGACACCGATCTACGAGATGTACTTTGAAATGTATTAGTTTAACGATGCAAAATCGGGATATTTTGGGAAATAAATCCAAAAATCTTAGTGCGTCAGTTGGAAAGTTAAGCTGGCTTCAAATTAGTTCGTCGGTCAGAATTTAGCATCATACGGTTTATGAGACTAGACAGTAAGATATGGCGCCGAATATCTCAGAGTTTCGAGACGATACTTGGACAGTCTAGGCGCTTGTGAGATCGCCGGATATTCAGTCGGAAACGAGGAACAAAAGCATTCATCAGTGGCAACGCAGGAAATCGACCAACTCGATCCCAACACATGAAATTATGCCAAACACGCTGCATTTGTGTATTTAGTGGCCATTTTTGTCTGCTGAAATTGTAAAATCGGTCGCGGACCTAGAGAGAGGACGGCGAAGACCAAAAAGGAAAAGCTAGACCCGGCAGGGTTCGAACCTGCATTGGTAGATGAATGGTAAATCGCAATGATTTTCAGTTCTGGCTTTGCCAATTAAGCTACGGGCCTCTACGTTCACAATGTGCAATAATATCCATATATTTTGACTTGGCCCCTCGAAAAATGTAAAGAGAAGTCTCGATGCTGGCCCTCAAGGCTCTGGAGTTTTGCATTCAGAATCAGAGCTGGATGACGGAGTACAGGAAGGGTCGCGCCTCGTTGTGTCCGCGACGAGGAAAGGCAGTGCACCACGGCGACATCACACTTCGCCGAACCGGTGGTTCAGGCCATCACATAACATGCTGAAGAATCACAAACCTATTTGACTACTGCTTGACAGCTACACTCTGTGTTAAGTTCAAGTCTGGAGTCCGCTAGCGTCGCTTCAGCAGATTTAAATCATTTGAGGTCGTTCAAGCCCATGACACTCCACCAGCAGCTATCCATTCCCAGTGGACCAGCCGGCAAAATAATACCCGCGTGCAAAATTATGCGTACCATGGTAACAAATAGTACGGAAGTAAGACCCAGGGGGAGTATGTGTTGATGACTCAAGCTTAAGGTCAACGCCGCTGAGCATTCAGAGCTACCACGAAAGCGTTTTTCACGACCAAACACGGGGGTCGATTCGCAGCCCGACCTGTGGATGAGGATGTTTCCTCTCTCTATAAAAAGTGAAATGCGATGGTCAGAGCTTATTTAAAGACGGTTTGATTCATTGTTGCACGATTACAAGCAGGATTGGGATCAAGGAACGATGGATCAACTACAGACAAATACAGTCGATTGCAGGAAAGGCAACGGGTGACTGACTGGAATAAGTTATCGTCAGCTAGCTACGAGCTTGGGGAAATTAGGGCTCGGGATGAGGGTGTGCACAGCAGAGACGAGTTCCTTTAGGGGTTTGTGGATTGGGATTGCTGCGGCTGGACAGCAGCTAAACATTGGGACGTTATTTTTTGGTCGAGAGAAAAACCGATCTGGGCGAAGAGGTCCCTCGCCTCTACATAGAATTTTGCGGACTCGGTTCGGAGGGCTTGCTGTCGGTAGAGGTGACCAAGACTGCGCAGCGTGTAGGCTCGACCCTGCGTATTGCCGATGCGAGAATAGATTTCTTGTGCTCCGGCGTAGAACTCGTTTGCCTGGGCGTATTTCGACTGAGCGCGGTAGATCTCTCCCAGCGCGTGCAACGTGTTTGCTCGGCTGTAGTCGTCACCGATGTAGATATAGATCTCTAGCGCCCGGGTGTAAGATAGATCGGCCAGTCTGTATGTGCTTTGAGCTCGGTAGACCTCTCCAAGCCCGTACAAAGTGCTCGCTCGGCCTTGGCCATCGCCAATACGAGCATAGATCTCCTGCGCTCCAGCGTAAGACATTTCAGCCTCGCTGTATCCAGATTGAGAGGCGTAGAGGCCCCCCGACCACCGTAACGTGCTCGCTTGACCGCGTTCATTGCCGATTCGAGTGAACATGGCTTGTGCCCGGACGTATGACGCGATGGCCTGGGAGTATTTGGATTGAGCGCGGTAGACATGTCCCAACCCACACAACGTTCTGGCTTGACTTTCGCAATTGCCGAGGTCGACATAGATTTGTAGAGCCCGGGAGTAAGACTCTTGGGCATCGGTGTATTCGGACCGAAGACGGGAGACCTCTCCAAGACGGTACAGGGTGTTTGCTTGGTCCTCATCCCGTGCGTGTATGGATTGAGTGTCAAAGATGTGTCCCAGCCTGGCCGACGTATTAGCTTGACGGGGATCGCCATAGGTGGAATTGTTGATGTTTTGGTTTTCGAGTCGAGCCAAGGAATATTCACCTTCTGGGCATTTGGGTTGAAGAGGGTAAACCGCTTCCAGACCATTTAACGTGCTCACTCGGTCAGGGTTATCAGTGATGTGAGCGAAGATCTCTTGCGCCCGGGTGAAAGACTCTTTGGCTTCGGCGTATTTCGACAGAAGACGGTAGACCTCCCCTAACAAGTACAGCGTGCTTGCGTTTCCGTTTTCATTGCCGATGCGAGCAAATATGACTTGCGCTTGACTGTACGACTCTTCAGCTTGGGTGTATTTGGACTCGGCCCGGTAGACGTGTCCTAGCATACACGCCGTCCTTGCTTGACCGTGGTTATCACCGACGCGACCGTAGATCTCCTGTGCGCTTGTATAGGACTCTCCTGCCAGACTATATTTGGATTGAGCGCGGTACAAATCTCCCAATCGGTGGAACGTATTGACCAGACCCGGGTCATCGCTGATACGAGTGAAGATGGTTCGCGCTAAGGCGTATGACCCTTCAGCTTCAGTGTATTTGGATTGATCGCAGTAGATGTCCCCAAGCCCCAGAAGCGTGTTGGCTCGGTACTGGTGATCATCAATTCTAGCGTAGATGTCCTGAGCTCGGGCGTAAGACACCTCGGCCTGGGTGTAGTTGCGTTCGGCGCGGTAGACATGCCCCAACCCACATAACGTATTGGCTTGACCCTGGCTATCACCGAGACGAGTGAAAATGGCTTGCGCTTGGGTGTAAGACTCCTTCGCCTGTGTGTATTTGGATTGGTGGCGCAAGACTTCTCCTAGTATGTACTTGTTCACTTGGTCCAAATCACCACCAATACAAGCGTAAATATCTCGTGCTCGGATGTAGGAATCTTCGGCCTCCTTGTACCTGGATTGTGCGTGATAGACGGCTCCAATACTCTGCAGGACGATAGCTTGGCCCCGCTGATCACCAATGGTAGCGTAGAGATCCTGAGCTCGGGCGTAAGACACCTCGGCCTGGGTGTAGTTGCGTTCGGCGCGGTAGACATGCCCCAACCCACATAACGTATTGGCTTGACCCTGGCTATCACCGAGACGAGTGAAGATGGCTTGCGCTTGGGTGTAAGACTCCTTTGCCTGGGTGTATTTGGATTGATGGCGCAAAACCTCTCCTAGCCCATACGACGTTTTCGCTGGGCCCAGGTCACCGCCGATGCGATCATAGATTTCTTGTGCTCTGGTGTAGGACTTTACTGCCTGAGCGTATTTGGATTGAGCACGGCAAACATCTCCCCAACCCCGTAGGGTGTCTGCCAGACCCTGTTGGTCCTCGATGCGAGCGAAGATGGCCTGTGCTTGGGCATAGAAATGTTCGGCCTGGGTGTCTTTGGATTGGGCATGGTAGCTTTCTCCTAGTCTGCACAACATCCTGGCTTGGCCCGGGTAATATTTTGCATACACGTAACTCCGGCGCGCTCGGTCATAATAGCCTTCCGCCTCGCTGTTCCTGGATTGAGCATGGTGGAGGTCTCCAAGCTCTTGGAGTATATGCGCTTGGCCCAGAGAATCGCCGATGCGAGTGTAGACGTCTTGCGCTTGACTATAAGAATCCTCGGCCTGGGTGTATTTGGATTGAGCTCGGTAGCTGTGCCCCAACCCTCGCAGCGCGCCCGCTATGCCTTGGTCATCACCAATCCGATTGAAGATATTCCCCGCCTGAGTGAAAGTCTCCTCAGCTTCGGCAAATCTGTCTTGAAGCTGGTAGGCGACTCCTAGGTCTTGTAGCGTGTTGGCTATACCTCGAGCATCGCAGATACGAGTATAGACCTCTTGCGCTTGACCATAAGAATCCTCGGCCTGGGTGTATTTGGATTGAACCCGGTAGCTGTGCCCCAACGCTCGCAGCGTGCCCGCTCTGCCTTGGTCATCGCCGATGCGATTGAAGATTGTTTCCGCAAGGGTGAAAGACTCCTCTGCTTTCGCAAATTCGGTTTGAAGCTGGTAGACGTCTCCTAGGCCTTTTAATGTGTTGGCAAGGCCGTGACCATCGCCAATACGAGCGTAGAGCTCTCGTGCTCGGGTGTAAGACTCCTCGGACTGGGCATATTTGGACTCCGCCCGACAGATGTGTCCCAACCCACAGAGCGTGTTAGCTCGACCCTGGTCATCACCAACACGAGCGTATATGGCGTGTGCTTGCACAAAAGAGGATGTGGCTTTAGTGAATTTGGATTGAAGCTGATAGATGCCTCCCAGCCCTTGCAGCGTGTCCGCCTGACCCTGTTCGTTACCAATGCCAGCGTATACGTCTTGCGCTAGGTCGTACCACTTTTCAGCATCGGTGTATTCGCACTGGGATGTGGAGATGTTTCCCAGCCAGTACGAGGCTTCTGCGCGTGCAGCTTTGTCTCCTTGACTGCTCGCAGTCATGAGTCCCTCTTTGAAAAGGGACGCGGCATCGTCATAGCGAGCGCGTAGGTAGTGCATGCGACCCATTTGGAACAGAAGCCGAGTGGTTCCATTTTTGGAATCCGAGGGCACTCCGCCCAGTGGGGGCACCGACGGCTGAGGCGGGTTCAAATCAGGAATTGCCGTAATCCGGATGAGTGCCAGACTCACCACCCATTTCACCTCGTCACAGCACTGGGAAACGGTAGGCCTTTCCCTGTGATCTAATATCCAACAGTCTGCCATAAGGTTGCAAAGCCTGACGATTTGTGACAGTTGCGCGTGTTCACTGGTTGAAGGGGTCTTGCCCTCGATCACCCTCAGTGTAATGGCAGCTCCCGATTCAAGTTCGGGAAATGGTAGCTTATCCGTCATAATCTAGTAAATAACCCACAGCTGATGTTTAGCGACCACGACGCAAGCTCACAACTTCGGGAGTCGGCCCACCTCCCAACACACCCATCCAGCTGACCAGATATCGCTGGGTAAACCTGGATGATTCCCGTTCACGACTTCCGGAGGCGCCCAACGGAGTGACCAAGCAGGACCTGTCAGGGTTAGCTGATTGCCAGTAGCAACGATGTGTATTTTGGGGTGATCCTGCTCTTTAGTTGGGTCCTCCTTCGCTTCTTGACTCCCTTCTTCTGCGGGCCGGTCTTCCGTCTTCTTTAGGACACGAGCTGAACCAAAATCTGTGATTATTGCACGGTATGAGCAGCTGACGAGAATGTTGAGCTAGCACGTCGTTGCGATCAGATGCGAGTTGCTAAGTGAATGTGGGTTGAGCAACCCACCGACTTGAGGTCACCATGACAGATTGGCGGCTCGCGAGTGTGAAGATACTTGAGACCCTCGAAGGTATCC